AAAAAAAAAAAAAAGAGTTGAAATTCAGATCCCTTTCATAAATCAATGAATCAATCAGTTCCTTGACTCTACTCTGAGTCAAAGAATGGGCTAGAAAAAAAATATGCTGGCAAAACAACTTGGATCAAGTCTTGGATCTAAAGTGGGAAAAATCTATGAAAATTCAAATCATTATTTGCATGGTCCAGAAAACCCCAAGCTAAAATATTAAGGTGCTTCTAGTTTGGTAGCACTTGGGACAACTGCCAGAAGTAAATGTAAATCTGCTATTGAAGATTGTACCCTAAACCCAGACCACTCAAAATTCCTAAAGACTAAGATGAGTGACAAATTATGAGCTCATAATAAAAATTACCAAATACTTCAGAAAACAAGCCACAGTGAGTAAAATAATAATAATTATTATAATTATATTATAATTATAATAATAAAGAGCAAATAAAGAGCAGCATTAGTATTAGCTCCATAAGACTTTGAATAATGGAATTATCAGATTCAGAATGTAAAATAAGTATGCTTTATACAAGTGACATAGCTAAAATCATGGAGAATGAATAAAAGACTACATCACCAGATTGACTGAGAAAGAACCAAAGAGACCATTTATTTATTTATTCATTTATTTATTTTATTTTTGAGACAGAGTCTCACTCGGTTGTCCAGGCTGGAGTGCCAGGGCATCAGTCTAGTCACAGTAACGTCAAACTCCTCGGCTAAAGTGATATTCCTGCCTCAGCTTCCCGAGTAGTTGAGACTACAGGTGCCCACTATGATCCCTGGCTAAGTTTTCTATATTTAGTAGAAACAGAGTCTCACTCTTGCTCAGGCTGGTCTTGAACTCATGAACTCAAGTGATCCTCTTGCCTTGGCCTCAGAGTGCTAGGATTACAGGGGTAAGCCACTGCACCTGGCTCCAAATAGAATTTTAAAATTAAAACAAATGGGCTGGCAAGGTGGCTCACACACCTGTAATCCCAGTGACTCAGGAGGCTAAGGCAGAGGACTACTTGAGGCCAGGAGTTTGAGAACAGCCCAGGCAACACAGTAAGACCCTATCACTAAAAAATATACATTTTTTAAAATTAGCCAGGGCATGCCTGTAGTCTCAGCTACTCAGGAGGCTAAGGAAGGAGGATCACTTGAACCTAGGAGCTTCAGGCTACAGTGAACCGTGACTGAGCCACTACACTCCAACTTGGATGACTTTTTGTTTTTATTTTTTGAGACAGAGTCTCACTTTCTTGCCCCTGGTACAGTGCCATGGCATCATAGCTCACAGCAACCTCAAACTCCTGGGCTCAAGGAATTCTCTTGCCTCAAAAACAAAAACAAGGAAGACAGCTGTATGTGGTAGCTCATACCTATAATCCTAGCACTCTGGGAGGCTGAGGCAGGTGGATTGCCTGAGCTCACAGTTTTGAAACCAGCATGAGCCAGAGCAAGACCCCGCCTCTAAAAATAGCCTGGCATTGTGTCTCCTATAGTCCCAACTACCTAGGAGACTGAGGGAAGAGGATGGCATGAGCCCAGGAGTTTCAGGTTGCTGTGAGCTATGACTCCACAGCACTCTACCAAGGGCGACAAAGTCAGACTCTTGTCTCAAAAACAAAAACAAGGAAGCCCACACACCATGGACTGGTTAAAAGAACAGATTAAATAGAGCTAAAGAATGAATCGGTGAACTGGAATGAAGAGCTGAAGAACTTATAGAAGGCAGCACTAAGAGACAAAGAGATGGAAAACATAAAATAGTTATCACCCATGAAAGACAGAATGAGATAGAATAATTTTCATCTAATTGGAATTCCAGAAAGATAAACTGGAATGAATGGGAGAGAAGCAGTACTCAAAGATGTAACTGCTGAAAGCTTTCAAGACTTCAGTAAAGACGTGAAACCTTTGATTAAGGAATCACAGTATTATTCTACTGTCTATAAGATTTGGCATGATGATTTTTTAAATTATCTTTTATTTTTATTTATAAACATTAGTTGTCTATTTTTTGAGACTTTGGAAAAAAAAATAAGAAGTTAACTGATGGGCTCAGCGCCTGTGGCTCAAGTGGCTAAGGCACCAGCCACGTACACCTAAGGTGGTAGGTTCGAATCCAGCCCGGGCCCACCAAACAACAATGACGGCTGCAACCAAAAAATGGCCGGGCATTGTGGTGGCGCCTGTGGTCCCAGCTACTTGGGAGGCTGAGGTAGGAGATTCACTTGAGCCCAGGAGTTGGAGGCTGCTGTGAGCTGTGATGCCACAGCACTCTACCCAGGGGGACAGCTTGAGGCTTTGTCTCAAAAAAAAAGAAGTTAACTGATGACTCCATCCTGAACCTCAGAGTCAAAGCATTCTATGATTGACATATTTTTTTTTTAGACCCTGTCACTAAAAATTTTTTAAGTTAAATCATAGCTGTGTACATTAATGCAGATAGACATACTCATGTTACTTTTCTTGCATTATTATTATTGTTCAATATTTCATTGCAGGTATTGTCTGATTTCTTTTCCAGATGTATTTATCTTCGTTTGTTCTTTATG